GGTGACACAGTGTAACAAGCAAGAAGTCTTTTACTCATCATCAAAACAGCAATAAATCAGGTGGAACAGCAGTTGTCGTCTTGTGCTTTGGGGAGATAGATGGAGCGGTTAGCAAGTTTCTTCAAATGTGGCAGCATGTACCAAACTGAATTCCTAAAGGAAGTAATGATTTCCTTGCTTGATGCTTCATAAGCTTTGGTCCGTACAAACCTATTTGTGGCACTGTCGTGACTCTTTGGTAATAGTTACAGGAAGCAGAATTTCTTGTTTTTTTTTTCTAGGAACAGGCCAAAATCAATGCGCGCGCGGACGTCATCCTATAAATTTACTTGGTGTGGCCTTATATGAAGGATAGAAGTTTGAATATGTTAGTTCACTCATAAGTATCACTCAAAGGGATGCATAATGTGATATACCTTGATGAAGCAAGAGCGCCCTCAGACACTCAATGGATCAGCCAGCCAATAACTAGACAAGGCCCTCTGATTTCAGGGTCCGAAGTACAGGACAAAACATTGCAAAAGTCAAAAATATTTACCACACCGTGATAAAAATCAAAATATCATTGTGTCGCCTGACAGTAGACAGGACTTATCTGAACTTTAAACCTCTCTTTCCCAAAACCTAGAAAATGCAATCTGGTGTACAACTCCAAAAGTGGTACATGTAAATGTATTAGCCCAAAACAGAAAACACAATCCCAAACATCAGGGCAAGAGCCAGCAGACTGGTCAGTGCGGCTTCCCCCACCCTGACCCCACCGGACCGAATGTTCTCTCGGTCAATGACCCAGGTGTTGCAGGCGGTGTTGTTGTTGCGGTCGTTACAGCAGCGCACGCAGTCACCTGACGCGTCCCGCATGCAGTCGTCCGTTTCTGTGCACGTCTGCTCACAGCCCCGTGTGATGTCAGTTAGCACGCGATCTGTAGTCTTATACATCACCTAATGAGTGTGATAGAGAAACAAAGAGAGAAACTGCACAAGTGTACAAACATTACGAAAACATGAAAAAACTTCGTTCCTTGCATGGTAGAACCGGGGACGGCGTCAGGTATCGACTTCCGAGCACCTTGATCCGTATGCATCACATATCCCGAAGATCAGTGCGTGTCGGCCGAAATTCGAAATGTGGGTCAAATTTTTGACGAAGGCCGATGGGCAAGGACGAAATTTCGATGACTCACGTACTCACAGTTCTATTGTGTTTGATTCAAGACGTCACTATCATGCATCATTACAATTGAATTGATGACTTTCTATTATTAACATCGAATTGTACTGTGCAATGGAAATTGTTTTCAAAAGACCCTCTAGACAGAGTGCTCTGAAAGGGTACTCAAAATGGAAAGAGAGCACGGAACTGTTCTTAACGCCTTGACTTCAAGTACCCAGCACGGTACCGGTCCACCGAACGATGATATGTTCATTGGACTACCCCTGTTATTCACATCTTAATTAAGGTGTTCCTTTCGACCTTTCTCCAGTGAGTTTCCTTGTGTCCAAAATGCAAGGCGAGTGCACTAACAATACTGCTAATTTTTAGTTTAAAAACTTCCTATACTGCTAGTATACGGTGTGTAGGGCGGGCCCCATCTCCGTTTCTATAACCCTTGAGCCACACAGCTGCGCAAGCACTACAGTTGGGGACTAGCTAACTGGCAATTATGGCGTGTGTTCTATTACCATATTTACCCCATACTTGCATAAAGTGCATACATTTGCACAGGTTGTTTTGAAATAGATATAAACAGGTGAACAACAATAAACATACATAGCAGAACTGGCCGATGGGACAGTTGACAGTATCGTCCAGGTCGCTGGGGGTGCCGGCACACGGGTTGTCCTCCAGGACGCCGTCTATAATGTCGGCGTCACAGGACAGACACGGGATCCCCTGCACCTCACCCTGGTACAGCTGGCCCTGGCCCTCTGCATGGTCTGGAGACAAGGAAGAACGTTACAGACACAACATCACCGGGTCCTCTACAACTATAGACACAAGTATGATTAAAAAAAAGGTTCAAAGGCCCCTATTAATGATCGAAAAGTTGAATGTACATTATCACATTATCACATTATTGCCTAGGAATATTCACAGAGAACAAAGGCGACATTATTGCGCCCTACGAACGTGTTCAAAACCTGGGGAGGGGAGAGAGAGAAGAAAGGGAGGAGAGAGAGAGAGAGACGCACGCACACAGAAACGCAGAGTCTCAAGTACAGAGAGAGAGACACACACCAGAACACAGACACACACACACACACACACATACAAGTGCTCAAATACACACAAACACGCGCGCGCACACACACAGACATCTACACAGGGACAAACACACATAAGCACTAAAACACACACGTGCACATAAACGAAAAAACTCACGGACAAGGCTGACGACAAGAAGCGCAAAGACAAACATCATCATGGACTTGGTTGCTTCAGTCTCCGGTCCCGAGTTCCAAGATCACTGAGTCAGTCAGTCCTTGGAACGACATAATATTTTTTGTAAATGAGAATGTGGTTTGATATTTGATTGCTAAAACAGACTTTTCACATAGACACAGAAAGTAGAATATGGCGTTGGAGTGATGTAAGGTTCCTAACTTCCTACAATGCACGATAGTTAAAAATCGTCCGACGATCATCCGACCAATGTGACGGGGTCGACGCCCTAACGCTATGACAGGCGCTACTCACTACCACTGTAGCTGTAGAAAATTAGATACATGCATAAACAACGTACAAATAAATATTAAATAATCGATATCGAGGTGCAAGAAACCATTTGACTGTAAAACATTATGCCTAAAACGGTCAATTCAGTAACAAAATCAAGAATTTAAGGGGAACAAAATGAGCATATGATGAATTGCTCACCTTTGCAGCTAGGTGGAAAACGTTGTTGTGACGGTAAATGGTTTATTTGCTACAGCTTAGTCATGCTGAGTCGACCAGACCTTTCTTCTACAACTCCTTCAGGTACCAGTGGGGCGTGTATCACCGTGGAGACCAGACCCTCCATCACCGTGTGTTAGTCTTAACATTATTCAAGGAGGTCCAATTTTAACACGGATGGTAGAGGAGGATAGCTAAAGTGGAAAAAACTACACTAAGGGCATGCGCGTTCTGAAGGACAACAGCATCACTAACTGTAACCTGGATTGGAGTACAAGATGTGGAAGCTTAAAGTGGTTTTCTATTCATCTGAAAGGCAATAGTAATGCTAATGTAAAATCAGCACAAGTTGAAAGTCTAAGTGTGTCAAGGTTCTCTAGATCGATCCGAATGGTCTACCCGTCTCGGTTCAATGTCAGGACATTACGTTAAAACAACGACGATCTCAAACGTACGTACTCTGACATTTTGGCTGTATATTTAGCGGCACCGTTTTTTTGGGCTCACAGGTACTATTCCAGGGTATTTCAAAGTTTAGTTCTGAACGATGAACGGTATCGCTATCGGGTTGTCGAACCAGGACGGCGGCGGGTATCGTCTCTCAAAACCCACTCTTGACGTCACACTTTCCTATCACCAGTACATGTCCGCGGGGCTAATTTCCGTCTCGTAAACGGTCGTCGCCTTTTGAAACGTTAACGGTCGATGCCATATCGCAGAACGGCTAACATTAAGTGTATCATATCAGCACGGTCCATCCACACCGTGATGTTTCGTGTCGTAGCTATAGAGTATAGGGTATAGGTTAGGGTCTTAGAGCTACGCTTTTCCACCCGAGTTCGAAATCGAATCCGAGCTTGTGCTTTTATTCACTAATACCTTTTTCATGATCCTCACTTACATTTGTAATTAGAATGTTGCTTTTTATAGTATATATTACGTTTTATGATACTTTTTTGAACCTCAACAATTATGATACGCTCGGATATGGCATACAAAGGCGACGACCGGTCTGAAAGGCGACGACCGTTTACGAGACGGAAATTTGTATCGGCGGGAATGTGGGTGGAAAGTTCGGTAAGTAACAATTATGTCGTGTTCAAGTTTAAAAAAAAACTTTCAATAAAAGCTTAACCAACCTTTCACAAACAAACGAATTCCAAATCCTGAACTATCTTTATGCGTTACATTAAAACAAAAATACTCATTCCATTACTTACATAACTCTAAGGCTAGGTAGCACCACCCTAGTACAAAACGATGTTAAGATTGGCATATTTGATAACTGGAGTCTTAAATGTTTCTGTTAGTCTTAATGCCACTCCCTTAACGCTAGACACATGGACAGGAGGGGCTTTGTCAACGTCCACGGTGTTGAGGGTCCATTCTCCACACCTAAACAATGTCCTGATTTAACAATGCGCTAATCGTCCTTAAACACTGTTTATTTTGTCAACATAACACACAGCTATCTCTATTGCCCAGCGACAGTGGAACGGATTGTGCCTTATGTTTTCGGGTTGGTCGTTTGGAATTTGTACTGGCGACAGTAAGAAAATGGATTAGGTTGAAGATTAATGCTGGAGTCAATCTTAGAACAAAGATCAGTCAACTCCACAGTTTTGGGTAGTTACAAAGCTAGCTACAGCAGTCGAGTCCACTGTTGAGTTTCTTTTCTACGGCTTGTGCTCTTCTCTATGCAACGTCGACTTAAGGTGGCTTCATTTTGAAATCGAATAGTCCAACGAAGGAGCTTATATGCGCCTTGGTCCAACTTGACTATTTTCGACGAAAACGGGAAACGTAACCAATTAATTTCGAGATTTTTTATTTGGTTAAAACAAATCAATGATATGATACGTATCAGTGCTGACAAACTATTGTACACAAATACGAGTGACAAACGCAAGGTTTAATTTAGACAACTATTTCTTCCACTTCGACACCAAATTAGATAATATAAGCACAAAATTGTCGCAACTTGTGAAAAGAAGTGGCTGTAAATAGCTATCTTTTGTGATCCTATAAAACGTCAACTTTTGTAATTCCGCCGAGTGCCCTGAGACCACCACAATAAAAAGGCGCACAAGGCCTTCTCAAGAATGTCTTCAACACCTGGATATCTGAATTGTGCATACCTGATACTGGGGATTACTGATACTGCAGCAGTAGTAGAGTAGTTTTTTTTTATGTCGCGGTCCCAGGATACCCGGCAGAAGCGTAAGTTTCCTAATCGCCTGAGATAATAGTCATATCCGGATCTCGTATGGCAGTGTTGCAAAAATCTCCCTGTATATGTACAGTCAAACCTGGTGACGTCACACCATCACCTAAGTGCTCTAACGAAGTCCCATTTCGGCCATACTCTGTGTAAAAGACTTGATTGTCGCATTCAGTCCGTTGCCAGGCATTGTACAAGTATCTAGGCGAATCCGGCACCACCTTTTCGTACCGTATTTGGAGAATTAGGGTGCAGTTGTTCCCACAGCTCCCAGCTAGATCCTGGAGGCTATAAGACCTGTTGTCATAGTACAGTCTACTTTGTGAAAAATCTAAGCACTGCTCTGTAAATATCATAGCTTCGCCGTGTTGTCGTACATCAGAAGTAGTTGTCAGTCGTTTAGACGTTGCTGCGTTCACTTTCGCCACTTTCTTGAAGTAAAGAGGTTTGTAGAAACGGTCGGTGATTGGCTTCTCTACCACGACCGTGTCGCTGACTAAAATGGCCGGGTTCCTTGCGGACGTTAGCCTGGAAATGGTCACCGCGTGGAAAATGAGAACAGCCACCATGGCAAGCAGCATCCAACCCTTGATGCACGCGCTGGGCTGGTAGTATTTGAACCTCCTCTCGCTGTATTTACAATGTAAGAAAGTGTGTAGACAGATGTTGTGGAACACCCTCGCGCACACGCATGTCAGAGTGGTCATCAGAGAGACTATGAGAACGGGGTCGGTCTCTGTTAGCTGACAACGCGTAGCACTCAGGACCGAGATGAACATGTCGTGAAGCAAGACCTCAAAGAAACTCACGGTGAACCTCTTCATCACTGTGTCGATCACCCGATACTCCGGAGGTGTTACGGCGTCTTGGATCGACCCTCTTCTTTCCCCCTCCCCCTTTTCAGGCTCTTCCTGAACTTTGTCAACAACTTCGGCTTCCTCCGGGTCTCGTAGGTTTATTTCGCGTCCGTTTCGGGTCTGTCGCATTCTCCTGACCAGTCGACGTTTTCGACACAGAATATCTACTGTTCTGCAGAACAATAATACTTCCCAGATAAATATGACGGACGCCAGGCAACACATAACGTACATACACTGTTCAATGGTTACATTCTTGTACAGGGATAGGCTATACGCCGTACAGTTCGCCCACGTCGTACCCAGGTCAGCTAGGGCAACGAGAAGGAAGAAAATAGCTTCTACACCTTGATAGACAGGTGTCAAACATCTCCTCACATCCCTCGCTGTACCAAGAAGCTGTTGCAGACGTCTCGGGCGTGTCCTGAAATCGTCTTGGAAGTCAAAGGTAGTTTTTACACACCTGACGCCCGCTGGTGTGCTTGTATCCAGCTCGTCTTCTTCTCTCATCTTGCTATGTTTGAAGGACCCAAAGGTTCCCAGAATGTTCCAAATCATACCTTCTCTGGAACTAGGCAGGGCATGGGGAGATAGAACACGTTCTTGTCGCTAACATGTAGGAGGCAAGTCCGGACTTTCCGTCTGTGGCATGCTTCAGTGTGACAAGTACCAAACAGGGGACTGACCGTTAGCAACCCGTTAGGAGTGTACACCATGATTTACAATTCTGTTCAACAATCTCGGAGTCTTTCAAATCCCACTTAAAATGATCATGCGAACATTGTCTAAAACCCTGACCATAAAAGCTATAGTGGGTTCATGGGAATAAGTAGAAAGCTTATAGTCACCTGTTTGTAAAATGCTTTGCCCCGGTATCAAAGGTCAACCCAATGGAAGTGCGGTATCCACCTGTGAGACTGCCCTTTGTGTAGTGAGTGGCTCTGGAGTAAGTGCAGGTGAGACAAAGTAAATTTGATTTTTCGAGAATGTCAACAGATATTCCATCTGCCCTATATTTTCGCTATCATGTTGATTGAAGATATACAGAAAACCCTCCAGTTACAGCTGGATAACAAATTGTTAAACCGTTGGTGTATGACCCTGACTCAGAGCGTAAGACGTAATGCTGCTGCCTGGTCCTTACCTTAATTTGTGTTCCCACTAGTCGAGGTCAGCGAACTCCTGGTTGGTTGATGGCGGCTCGTCTCGTAAATTAGATTACCTGTGTTATGTTTCCTATAAACAGGCTACATTCCTTTCCTGTCAGACAACAGCAGCTGTGTTTGTATCCCCGTGGCTCGGATAAAAAAAATCAGCACGGAAACACACCTGATAATAAAATCTACTTTTGACATTTGGTGTAGCCAGAAGTGTAAATACACCTCACAGACCAGTACGTCATATACATGTACTACAAGTCAACATTGGGATGGCGCTAATACATCACGACTGTACCCCCGCCAGTGCGTCACTGTTATGGGAGTTATCATGAATTGCAGGCGTCAACAAATACTAAAAATTTATTTTTTTAATGGCACGGTTAGTTATGCTCGATTTTATTGGGTACAGAACGAAGGGACCCCTGTTGTGAATGCCGTGAACGTTAAACACAGTAGCTAAGATTGACGTTTCTCCAGTGCTAATGTAAACCAGTCGGTACACTGAAGGTCAGGGGCCCGATTTTTCTAATCTCCAAGCAGATGTATGGTTCGCCAGTACGTCGTGCTCGCCATTGACCTTGGAGCCGATTCAGTAAATGTTGTTTGAATTAAGATTAAGTCATGATTTGAATCTATATCTAAATGCCATCAAGAGAAATTAGCAATGTGGAGACAGAGAAACTGTCACATGTACATAGATAAGACATAGTGGTTTTATTTGGTGATGCACTTCCTATATGCTCATTACTCATTACTTATTACTATGTCATAGCCTTCTATATTGATCTTCGCTATACATAAGAAAATTAATTATTGTATTCCGGACACTCGCACATTGTGTGTATCTGTATTTCCTTTGTATTGCTCCATTTAGTCGGACATGGTGTAACACATTTGAAAACTGGGGTAAGTCCGCTTCTCCGTGTTGGCAATTGTAGTTTGAAAACCCTTCTTAATAATGATTTCTACCAACACAGATAGACCTTCAATCTTAATTACATTGCTGGTTATTTAGATGGCGGTTTCCGAGGCCATGATGTCCCAGATCTGCCTGTCGGCCCGCTGGGTCTGGTGAGGGGCCATCATGGCGTGTCCCAGGTCCCATGGACTGGTCAGCAGTTCGACGGTCAGGCAAAACCCGGTCAGCTGGGACAGAATGTGGCCATCTGCCAACACCTGTGGTAGTGGGAGGAGTGTCATAAATTTGCCTTACAGAATGGATTTTGTCCGAAGCATAATAACTACTATGTCTTTGCTGTGATTTTGTCACCCGTACTATCAATAATACACTTGGTCAAAAAGCAAGTATCATAGTTATGCGCGCTTCAAAATGATTTTGGGGCGTTCACGGAGCTTTGATTAATATTGGCCGCTTGGGTCAGCTAATCAGCTAACAAGCTCGAAGAATTTTGGATCCAACATGATTTAGATTTGCACACGTGAGGGTGACACCCGGCCAATCTCACGATATGCTGGTTACCGAACAACACAATAACGGTCTGGCGAGCAGTTTAGAGATGATATTTGAGGCTATGTGACGTACCGTCCAATGCTGGCCCTCCCGTTTGGACGGGGAGCAGACCACAACAGGTGTTCCCGGATCCCCTATGTCATCCTTCACCGTCAGGACGTAGTTTGTGGCCTTGTTGACGATAGCGCCCGTGATGTAGTACCACATCTGACTGTCACTGCATTGAGGAGGGAGAGGTGTTGTTTAAGTTAGCATGAGAATGCTAGTCACCGCACAGGAAAGATTGTGAACGAAAAATTCATTGTTGAATTCATTTCGTGTCAGTCCTATCTCTCAGTCTCAGACCTCACCTGCGCTCCTGTCTCTCTGCCATCACCACATTGGCGCCGTGTTTAAACTTCCGGCCGCCGGCTGAAGGAGACGGACTGCCGTCCCCACCCACGGGCACCCAGGTATCACCACCCCCTGGGGGCAGGATGTCCAGGGCGTGGCCTGTGGACCTGCAGACGATACTGAAGTAGCTGTCCTCCAGCCACTTCCCCGTGAGGTGCGGGACTGTAGTGTTGGGCCCCAGAGTCGGCCTGTCGTCCTCCTTGTCTTCAACTTTCAAACTGATAATAAGAGAAACGTATTTCTTACATACACGTATTGAAAAATAGCAAAACAGTGGGACATTGTGTTTGTACACAATATTATGGAAAAAAGTTTGACTGTTTTCCGGTCGACATAAGGATTGGACACAGTGAACCGGGACAGGGGTCGCTACAGACTACACCACCTTTGACCCACCTTTGAGTCATCGGTTATAGTGAGGAAGATCGGAGGACTGGTCAAGATTTTTATGAGGCCAATCCTTGACTGAGAAAATAGTTACGTCTTTCCACAATACAGTCATGATACTAAGGAAATACCTTGGCAGAATCTCAGACGATCGTAATCTTTCTGAAATCTCTCGCAAATGGAATGGTTGTTTCTCGAAAACCTGGTCATCGTCGTCTTCTTCAGACTCCTCTTCTTGTGGTTCCGCCCGTTGTTGCTGCTGAGGATGTACCCTGTACCCTCCCAGAAGGTAACGGATATGATCGTGTCCCCTGGGGGCCATCAGGGGTTGGGGAGGGGTTAGGTCTGCTGCACTAGCACTGGCCGGGAGGGGACAACGTCTGGTGGCTGTCCGTGATCTTGGCGACAGCAGTGATCTACAAGAGAAAGGGAGGAATGTCACCCTTAAAGTAGGTAAAGCAGGATGCTTTTTGTTACAGCAATGTATAAATATACACATATATCTAACTTATCCGTCATACATGCAAATTTCTTTCTTTAGATTTAACGTTATAGACTTTCAAAAACGAAGACGTCAAGAGGCAACTAACTTCCAATCCGTGACGGAGTCCTTTTTGCCAGGAGATGGCACAGTGTGCACCCTGTCTATGGCGACGGCCGAGGTACTTTCTGTGGGCGGTGTGCTCGGCGGTGAAACATGGCGAGTGTTGTCCAAGGTCACTGTGGGCCACTGGTCATGTGAATGATTGATCGGACTTTTTGGTGTCCAAAAATCTGTCAGACTGTAATTGGTTTCTTCATCTGCAAACAAATCAAATACTTTTACGTCAAAGCAAACAACTAACGGTTACATGTATCATTATACAATACTATAAAAAGACGTACAGGTACAATCAATATAGAATCAATAACTTCCATATAATCAATCGAACTCCAACTTCTGGTATTTGTTATTGACCCTGTACCAATATATTATGTAAATATGATACAATTGGTTTACAGACTACCCGTTAGGCAACTAAGTCAGGATGGCCGAGCGGTCTAAGGCGCTGCGTTCAGGTCGCAGTCTGGTTCTCCAGGCGTGGGTTCGAATCCCACTTCTGACAAAGATTTTTTTCTTCGTTCAACAAATCTCATTTAATGTCTTTTGATAGAAAATATATCGATCTAAGAGCCCGATGCACAAGCGCTCTGTTTTCAAGTGACTTTCGTTGTCAGCCAAGCTCGCTACGGGCCTTCGTTTCCACACACCTGAATTTCCTTGGTTGTCGTCTGCTTTGTCTGTCAGCTCTTGAGGAATGATATCAGGTGGGTGGCATCTACAGCAAAACAGATGTTGGCGCAAAACATTAGACACTGTTTGGTCTTTACATGAACAAAAAAAATGACATTGACAGGCCCATATTTTCTTCACCGTGGCCCACAGCTACCTTTGTCAATAGCATTGTACTAACGTACCAAGGCTTTAACTAGATATAGGGCAGGTGTAACTGGTGCCTACGAAACAAAATATTTTACAGGTACAGCCCTACTACAGAAAGTCGACAAATAGATCTGGAGCATACGTGTTTTTCTCAAAGACTGCGATGATGTCCTCCTCTGAAGACGACAACTTCTCTCCTCCATCCATTTCTTCATCTATAACGTCATCCTTTTTGGTCTCCACCTCTTTATGTTCGCCAATGATGGAGACTGCTGGACGACATTGAAAGTACAGGAAAATAAAACACAGATGTTATAAACAAACATCTTGTGATAATGATTGAAATACGAAAGTCGCAGTCGTTGTGTTGAAATGGAAGAGGCAGCTTTTGCTACGGCGACACTGTCAGTGATAACCGGGCATATAGGGTAACACCGGGAACACACACAACAAGTATGATGTTTTTAAAAAAACACAGGCGACGATTTTGTGTTTAACTGTTCCGTTCTTTATAAATCGTTTTTTTTTCAAATACGTACACATATAATTCAGAAAGAATCCAGAAATTCTGTACAGTACGAGGAAAGCCGTCAGGGGTCCAAAATCAGTTAGACCCAGGTAAATTTATGTTGTGTTTCTAGCCCTTGAAAAATTAGAATCGCTAGATAGGGATTCACCTTTTTTATCTGTCTTTTGTTTTTTTCATAGATCTTTATAATTAGTGATCCAACTAATACAGTTAATATAACAATGAAATGTATAAGTACACTGGTATCTTTAACACCACCCTAATTTCGCCCCTAGAGATATAATAGTGAAACGCCGTCTTGGGATTACCGTAAATTCCCGAAAGTACGCACCCCTTGTGCTTCTGTGCATGTAGCATGTATGTCTTAAAAACAGTTAGTTCTAGAAAATATCGTTTAAAAATAAATTTAGGCCGTGTACTATATACGTGATTGCATGATAACTGGATATAGTATTGTAGCGGGAAGCGTTTCGTGTTGGGGCTAGTTTTCATCGCTGGCTGCAGCCGATTTGCAAGACGTCACCACCGCATCGAAGGGTAAGGCAAGTGCGGCGAAACGTACAGCTTTGGATCACGGAGAGTGTTGGTGATCAAGCAAGCAATGGTCAATAAAGATTTGTGAATATTTCAATAATGGTTTTATCGGTAACAAGGGTTATAATGTTGATGCACAAGTACGTAGCTTTGTTGTTCTTTACTTCTATACGAAATGCGCCGAACACTTTAATAGGGCCCGGTCGAACCATAGAGAGCAACAATCATCGAGGCGGAGGTCTGGGCGGAGTTAATGAATGAATGAATGAATAAAGACCTTTATTGTACACACATACCCATTGGGTTAAGTACGGGTCACAAAAAGGATGGAATATAGATAACAAATATGTTAATGCTACTGTGGGTGTAGAAGTGCTACCGGATAATCAAAGGAATTATATACACTTCAAATATGTATTAATTTGTACTCCGTAAAACCAAGGACATTATACACACATAATGTCCTTGGTAAAACTGAGTCTGTTCAGAGGAAAGAAATACTTCCTTCTCGGGGCCAAGGTTCTGGAAAGCTGTCCTAAACGATGCCACGACCCTCTCTTCGTTCTTCAGCTGTATGTGCACTTTGCAGGGGAAAAAGATCGGCGTGCACAAGACAACGGGCGCAGCATGATTCAAAGTTTATTTTATTTACGCCCTTATTCACGCCGATCAAAAGAAACTGCGACAATTCGGTACGTGCAGGCCCGTGCACGTGGCGACACAGGCTGGCTTCCCGCTCTAGCTGTGGGTTCCCACGATGTGTTGCCAAGGGCAGCGGCACGTACACAGACCTACCGGCGGATCCCACCCACCGGCCGACGGTAAGATTGTCAAAGACTACATTTTTAACTCCGCCCCTATCATTGTTGTGTGCCGAACAGTCGAGTACATCTAACTTGCATTTTCACGTCGTACTGACTGGTATAGCCCGCTACAAAGTAATTTCCCGTTGCATTAAACAAGATTTAAAAAGATTTGTGATACGAAATGAAATATTGATAACAATTTATGTTAACTGAACCTTTGTAACGGCATGGAGATAATCTTTGTTGAAGATTTCTGAGTTCAACGCAAGCCGGAAGTGCAATAGAAGTAGAGCTGACCATCAGTCGAGGTACAGCTATTATGTTATCACCTGTTACGTTACGACGATCAAGAACGTTCACGGCTTGTGGACCATTTCAAATATTACCACTCATAAACCCTCTTATAATTTCATATGTACTTACGTGGGGTTTAATATTATTTAAATTTTAGGCCGGAGTTCCACGAGATCGGCGCCGGCTGGCTGGGGAACGATCCCGTCGGCATGATGGAGCGACGGGCGTC